CCCCCGCCGCGCGGCCCCCCGCCGCCCGTCCGCGCGGCGCCGCCCGCCGCGGACGCTGGCCCCCGCAGCGCCTGCACTACGTGTTTGGAGAGCTGGGCCCGATCCCCAACCCCAGGGACCCCTCGCACGAGCTCTTCGCGACTGCCTACCTTCCATACAGTGAGCAACGCCCCGCGACGCGCCGCCTGCGGCGGCCACTCCTGTGGCCGCGGTGCGCGGCAGGCGGCGGGCGCAAAACGCAGCACGGCTTATCGACGCATGTACGCATCGCGCGCGCCGTCCCTCCCCGGCCCGACGCCCCCGCCGTTGCCGCCGCCCCCGATCCGCCCGTTTCCCCTCCTCATCCCCTCTCCCCACCACACACCGCCACACACCGCCAGACTGGGACTCCTTCCTGTTCTCAGCATTTCTCCGCCTGGTGCTGTCCCAGGACGCCCATGCGGGCAGCCTGCACTCGCATAAGGAGTCGGCCTGCGTCCTGGCATTCGCCTGGTCCCGCGCCCCCGCCGGCTCGCGCGAGTCGCAGCGCGCTTTGGACCGCCCCACGTGGCCGCATGGGGCGCCGCGCGCGGGCGCTGGCGCGGGCGCAGGAGCTGGTGTAGCGGCGGGCGCGGGCGCGGCGGCGGACGCTGGGATGGACGCGGCGGCGGGCGCGGGCGTGGCGGCGGGAGCAGGCACGGGCGCGGGGGCAGGCGTGGGGGCGGATGGGCGGGCGCTGAGGGTAGAGACACTGGAGGGAGCGGGGCCCCCGGCGGCGGCGGGCGGCGCGGGGGCGGACCAGGGGCGCCCTCAGTATCATCACCACCAGCAGCAGCAGCAGCAGCAGCAGCAGCAGCAGCAGCAGCAGCAGCAGCAGCCGTCGCCGCCAGCCTGGGCGCATGCCGCGGCGCCGGCGGCGCCCGGGGGCGCCGGGGCATGGAGCGGCGCCGGCGCCGCGGCGCCGGCTGTCCTGTGTGTTCTTGGGGGGCCCTTGGGGTTGCCCTGTGCGCCGCACGGGCTGGCTGATGGGGCGCCTGCGGCCCCGCACGGGCGCCCAGGGCAGGCGTTGGCCGGCACAGGCGCGCCGTCGTGCCCTGCGCCAGCCTCTGCAGGCGCCGGCGGCCGCGCGTTTGCGTCGTGGCGGAGCCTCGTCAGCCCCAGGGCGGTCGCGGCGGGCGAGGCTGAGGTGGCGCGGCGCGCGGCGCAGGGGGCGCTGGCGTCGCTGCCGGATTTCGGGACGGCCTGCGGCGCGGGCCCGCCGACGGTGGAAGAGCTGCGGCGGCAACACGGGTGCGCGGAGGGCTGTTTTTGCACGCATGTGGTGTCGGGGAGGCAGCTTGTACATCGTTGTGCGCTGGCGGTTGCAATCTGTGTGAAAAGGCGCGCGCGCGCGTGCGTGCGTGTGTTGTGTTTGTACGTGTGCGCACGTGCCTGCGTGCGTGCTTGCGTGTGTGCATGCTTGTGTGTGGAGGGTGGGGCGCAGCGCGTGGCATCCTGGAAGGGGTCTGCTGAAGCCCTCTCCCCATCTACGGGCCCTGGCTGCTCTGGGGCTGCGCCAGCTCTCACGAATCGCTTTCGACTTGGAGTTACGGTCCCCTTGCTGCAGGGCTGGCCACCTAAGACACCCTTTGAAGCCATGCTCGCTCACCCCATGCCCTTGCCCATCCTTGCCCTTGCGGGCACCCTGGCACCTCGCCGCTCCGCACGCCCAGGCCCCTGCTCGGGTGATCGACGGCGGCAAGGTGGCTGAAGAGGGGCTGAGGCTCGCGGGCAGGTGCACGCCCCTGCCTTGCAACCCCTGACACCGCCTCTGCAACCCGGCACTTGAGCCTCAGATCAATAAGTACATGGCAACGACGCAACTGCCAGGCAGCCACGCCGGCCGCTGCCTGGGAGCCCCGCTTGCTCGCGGGTGCGTCGGTGTGCGCAAGTTCGCCTGGTAGCAGTGTGCTGTTTGCTGCAGCCGTTTTCTTTGCTTGCTACATGTTCGAATCTGGCAGCCGTTTGTTCCAACATTTCTTTGAGCTTTGCCGATCTCATGTCTCCCCACATTTGGCTTCACGCATACTTGCTCATGCCCGCTCCATCGACCCCCAACCGCTGCACTGCTCGCCATGTCAGCGCCCGCTTTTCATGTCAATGCTGTCCAGGCCGATCCCTCCGCGCAATTTTGTCCACCTAGTTATGCTTAGTAGCTGACAAGTCTTTCATGAGCGACTCCACACACTTGCAGCATCTCCATCGCGCAATGCACCGGCGACAGCCCCGCGTGCCCCGCCCCAACGTACCGGTTTGACTAGTGTCGCCGGCAACAGCAGCACGGCAGGCCCCTGAAACCCAGGTGGCCCTTGTGAGCCCTTGCACCCCGAATTCTTGCACACCACTTCCTCACCCGTCCTTTGATTACAATATGCACGCTTGGCGCACCTCAAAGTATCCCAAGCTTACCCCTCGTGCTTTTCGCCGCACCCCTTTCACCCCCCCCTCCCATGGCGGCCGGTCAGGTGCTTGGGGCCTCGTGTCCCTTGCGCGCCCGTCAGCTGCCAGCGGGCCGTTTCGTTTGGACGCTCCCCTTCCCGAGACCCCACCCCACGATGCCTGCAAGCAACGCCGTGGCGCACGCTATTCGACCGAATGCGCGCTCCTGTGTGATTCTTACAGGGCGAATGTTGGCGACTGTTGGTGTAATCTGGTGCCATCCGGGCCTCTCCATCCTCAGAGCCCACGCGCAATTTACGGGTTGGGAGCTAAGGCGCCCGCAACGGGCGGGCCGGGACAATGTTTGGCGGGGCGTGTGCCGGCGTGTGCTGTGTGCGCCGTCACCGGGGCCGGGGTAAATGAATGTGGTGTGTGCAGCTGCAATGAACGCGCGTCGCTGTGTGCCGCGGGGGAGGCGGAGCGGCGCTGGGCGCACCGTGCCTCCCCCCGCAGCGCCCGCAAGTACTGCCGTTTCGCGCTGGGAGAGGGACAGACAAAAAAGGGGCGCGGTCGGCGCGGCCCGCGCAGGGGGCGGCCGGCACCCCCTGTGGCGGGAGCGACAGCGGTCGCCTGGCGGGGCGGCGCGCAGCCTCGCCGTCGTGGGCGGCCAAGCCCTTGTCAAGAGCTGCAGCCCGCCAGGGGGGGCAGGCGCGGCCCTTGGACTTGTGCAAGCCAGGGCCGCTGAAAACTCTGGCGCTGGCGCCACATGGGCGCGGGGGAGAACAGGGGCGGGCCTGGCGGGGCCATCGAATGGGGGCCAAGAACAGATCAGGCGTTCAGCCGCAGAGGGGCGGGCTTGGCCGCTCGCCCCCTGCTTTCAAAATTTGGCGGCGACGCCCAGGGCCCCCGCCCGGCACGCCCACGCGTGACGTGCCCGCCGGGGGTGGGTTGGCGCGCTCGTCGTTTTGGGAGTCTTCGGATGGCAGGGCAGGGAACAGATTGGAGCCGGTATTCTAATCACGGGGCCCTGCTCGTGGTGCCGACGCGAGCAGCGACCCATCGACTCGAGACGTGGCGCGCGGGGGCCGGAGAATGAGGGTTGTTGCCCAGGGCTCTCTCTCTCTCGCTCTCGCGCGCACGCGTGCACATGGGGCGGCGCGACCGCGGCGCGGGCGGGGTACAAGGGTGGTGCGGGGCCGCGCGGTGGCGGCGCGCGGCCGGCGCCGCACGAGCGGGGCGGTGAGGGCGAGAAGGCGAGAGTGCGCGGATAGGGTGTGGGGCAGGGCGGGCCGCTGTCTCAGCCGCGGTGGTGTGCATGCGCGGCTTTGGTCTGAGGTGCTTCCGGGATGGTGGGTTCGGCGTGGCGCCCTCCGGGCCCCTCTTTCTCTCTCTCGTTCTCTCCAAGCATGCCCCGCTAATCGCGGGGCCGAGCCTGCGCCTCGCACCGCGGCGGCGCGGGTGGCGCCGCGTCCTCAAAACAGGCGCAGGCCCGGCGCGTGCGGGCGGGTAAAAGGGGCCCCTTGTGTTGCTGAAAAGCGCATCGGGAGACGCGCGGTGGGGGGGCGGTACAGGGCTCGCACCAAACCGAAAAAGGCGCCGCTCAATGGCATTCTCGCTCCTGAATGACGACAGGACAACGCACACTCTCGGGGGCGATGGGGCGTTTTGCAACCTCCATTCTCCCTCTCCCATCGGGTACATAATACGTAAGCAGAGGCCCCGCAACGACGGCGGCTGTTGGCTCTGCGGGAAGGCTCTCGTAAGCGAAATTGCGCGTTTTCGGTAAAGCTGTTCGGCGCGTGGCAGCTGCGTTACGCGCCCGCAAGACGAGCTCCCCCCCCTCTCGGGCACCGCGGACGGCGGGAGCGCGTGGCGCCGCAAGGGCCGGAGTAGGGGTGGCAAGGGGGCCGATGGCAGCGCAGCGCGTGCGTCGAACAACGCGACGCAGCAGGGGCCAAAAGTCGGAGCGCGCCAGGCAGCTCAGGAGGGGGCCGTTTCAATGTGAGCCGAGCTGGGGAGGCCCTGTGCAGGGCTCGCCCGCTCTCGGGGTGGCCCTCGCTTGAGGTCAAGCCAAGCCAGAAGGGAAAGACAGTAAATCTTAGAAACTGGACCTGCCCGGGGCCTTTCGCCGGGGGCAAGGGTGGGGTGGCGGCGCGGGCTCAGGACAGAATGAGGTCAAGCCTGGGCGCCGTGAGTTTCGTCGCAGCACGAGGCGGGCAGGCACAAACGGCGCCGCGCGAAGGGCGGGCATGACACCGCTGAGGCTTGCGCACTTGCCGCGTACGCAGCGTGCTCCGCGGCGCGGCGCAGCGCGAACCGCACGCGAACGGCGGCTCACGGCGGCGCGCACGCGCTGACAAGCGCCGTGGCTGCGAGCCACGCGCCCCGCGCCAGGGGCGGCGGCGCCGCCGACAGCCGCGCGCGCATCAGCGCGGCGGCCAGCTCGGCGGCCAAGCCGCGGGCCGCGCCGCCGTCGGCCTCCGGGCCCGGCTGCTCGATGGCTGACGAAGACGAGAGGACGGGCCCCTGCGTAGCCCCGTGGTCAAACTCCGCGTCGTCGTCGCTCATGCTGCCAGAGCACCCGTCCTCCTCGTCTCCGACGTCGTCAGCAGCGCTGCCGCCGCTGCTTGCCGGCGCGAGGCGCACGGTGCAGGCGACGCCGCCCAGCAGGCACTCCTCGTCCTCGTCGATGCTCCAGCTCGGCAGCAGCTGCCGTGAAGCCGCCGCCGGCAGGGCGAGCGCCGCCGCGGGGACGCCGCGCGCGCCGGCGGCGCCGGGGCTTTGGGTCGGCGTGTGGGCCGCGGGGCGCCGCTTGGCGAGCGCGAGCGCGCTGTCGCCGGCCCAGGGGTTGTGCTGCAGGTCCTGTATGCAGGAGAAGCTCTGCGACTTGCCGCTGTAGTTGCGCGACAGGCCGCGGCCGCCCAGGCCCGTGCTGCGCCGCTTGAGCGGGGCCCGCGAGACGCGGCGCAGGTGGTCGTGCGGCGGGGGCGCGATGACGGCGCTTTGACCGGCGGCGGGGTGCGCGTGCTGACCGTGCGCGGGATGATGAGGCACATGCTGCTGCTGCTGCTGCTGCTGCTGCTGCATTGGCAGCATGAAAACAGAGGTGGTGGCCTTGGGGGTAGTGGAGACCATGCCCTCGGCCGGGCTTGAGCTGGCGACCTGGCCGGTGCGGTTTGAAGCAGGGTCCGGCAGGTCGGTCTAGTCAGGCACCACCCTGGGTGAGGGGCGCGCGCGTGGCGTCCCAGGTGCCCAGCACATGGGGGCTACGGCCCACCATTTCGGCTGCATTGGTGATAGGAATTCCGAACCAAACGCTTTGCTGGACCGATCAGGGTAAATGAGCCCAGGGTGCAGCGCGCCCACTTGGAGAACGAGCCTCCCCAACGGACCCCGTTGCGCCTCTCAGCAAGCCAAGATGTATTGAAACAACGCGCCTAAACTTCACAAGGGAGCTGGGCGCTCGATGAGCAACGCAGTGAGGTCCCTGGCGTCAGGAACGCGTCAAAGGGTAGGCGCTGTGCTTTGTGTGTCTGCTGAATGGTGAGTATAGTTCTCTTTGATTAAGGCTGTGACCTCAGGAATACTCGAGATCCATACGGTACTTCAACCCAGGGTGGGTGCTGTCATTGTGTTGTGGAGGCGCGGACAGTGAGTTGTGACTGGCTTGGAGAGTTTGTGAAATCTGGTGGCAAATTACTGCAAGCCTGTGAAACTCGAGATGCTCAAGTGCGATTAGGGTGGAACCGGTTGCATGCCCATTTTCACACGCAGCCATACCGTAGCGCTTCTGATGACAAGCATGCGGGTATCTTGTCTTTTGACAATATCCGCTCACCATCAGGCCTAGGCCCTGTGTCACGACCCGCATGGGCCACCACAGCAACATGATCAATTGTCAGTGACCGACAGGGCGGGAACCCGTCATGTTGTTGTTGGGTCCACTGAAGGAGCGCTGCTTCATATCGATACAATGTCACGTCATGAGACCCGTGGACGCTCATCAGCGCACTTTTGATACATATCACCAACGAACTTTCACAGCAGCAGCAATCCCGCCGTGCCAACTGCATGATTGCACCGCCCCAACGCCCGGGGGGGGGGAGGGGGGGCAAATATCCTAAGCAGTGTGCATCCGCAGCTGTCTTGCACCTGCCCCCGCTGCCGCTGTGTCCAAGCCCGATGAGGCTCCGCCACCAGCGGGCCCCCTGCCTCGGTTACAGCCACGCCCACTGGGTGTGGCACACCAGCTCCCCTTGTACCTGGTCCCGCTCGCGCTCAACTTCCGCTCACCTGGCAGCCCCGCCCCTTTCCCCACATAGAGGAGGATGCACACCTCGGCTTCGGCCTTGGCTGCAGGTGCACGCGCTGGCGCGATGGTTTGCAGAGAGCTGGGGTGCACTCCAGCACGGTGAAAAGCCCTTGCCACTGAAGGGGAGTGGCAGCTGTCAACGCTCGCATGCAGCCGTTGCAGCTGCTTGAGCACGTCGCATTGGGCCGCCGGCCCTTGCTGTGCTGGTCGCGCAGTCCCCGCCCTCACCTTGGGCTCCAGTTGATACTCGCGGCCGTGCCCGCGTGCAATACGGGCTGCTACCCGCAGAACGACCCCGGCGCCCCTCTGCCGACGCGCACTGCCAGCGCCCTCGCTTCAGGATGGCGGCGTGGTGCTCGCCGGCTGCCGGCTCCCAACCCAGAATTCAAAGGCGAGTCGGACAGGAACGGCCAGCCACAACCTGCTGGCCTTTATACAAATTTTACTCCAACCCCGTCCCATGCTACTCAGTTGCCTGTTGCGTGTGACGCCACCCCCTGCTGCGGCTGCTGCTGCTGCTACTGCTTGCTCCGCCAAACTGCAAGCCGGTTCAGTGCTGCTTCACTAAAACCAATGCATGCGTCTGCCACAGCGTGCGACTTTTCTTGCCATCACCCCACCCCCACAAGAGCGCAAGTCTTCAGCCCCTCACACGATGGCTCACCTGCTGTCTGAGCAGCCGCTGGCCCACCATCGCGGCATGAGGAAACCACACAGTTACTATATCTCTATATGCTAGACACCCCCGCTCCACTGCCGCACGCACAGGCGCCCCGCAGAGAGCATGCGTTGCGGCTGCTTACACTGCCATGAAGCAGCCTTCCTATGCGTCGTGGCTGCCGCGCATTGCGACGCGCCATGCACCAGAAATGCCCCCAGCTACTCTGGCTTCGCCCAACTCTGAAATGCGCCCACGCACAGGCCGCTCCTAATTCCGTGCAGCTGAATGTGCTGCACAGGCCGCAGGCCGACAGCTGCGTGTAGCTGCCAAAACGGCGCCAACCGGACTCCAGGCGATTACGCAGCCCTGCGGCCCCAGTGGCCAGGTCTTACTTGGTGACGGCTAATGCGCATCAGGGCACAAACTGCAGGTGTGTTCCGGCTGCATTGGCCGCCAACGCCTCTGTCAGCAGCTGCTGGTGTTGGTCTGACAGTGGCAAGCCCATGTTGGCCGCCGCCTGTAGTGCTGTGGTCAAGTCATCGGGCCCAGCAGCCTGCCGCTTCTCGACCATCTCGTCTGCCAGCAGCTGCGCCTCCCAACACGGCAGCGGCAGCTCCATAGTTGACGCCGCCCATAGCGTCTTGGCAATGTCCTGCGCCGTGGCCGCCCGCAGCCTCTGCACAAAAGCCTCCACAAGCTGCTGCGCCTGCCGACCTGGCAGCGGCAGTTTCATGGTCGCCACCGCCCACAGCACTGATGCCACCTCCCACGCCCTGGCTGCTGCACGGTTCCGCATGAACGCCTGCACCAGCTGCCGCGCCTCCTGATCTTCCAAGGGCAGCTTCATGGCGGCCGCGGCCCATAGCATTTGAGACACGTCCTGCACCCTGCCTGCTCCCCGCTTCTGCATAAACGCCTCCACCAGGTGCCGCGCCTGCTGATCTGGCAACGGCAGCTTCATGATGGCCACGGCCCACAGAGTTTGGGACACATCCTGCCGGTGTGCTGCGAGCCGCTGCTGCACCAAAATTTCCACGAGCCGCCACACCTGCTGCGCAGGCAACTGCAGCCCCAAGGAGGCCGCTGCCCACAGGGTGTTGGACACATCCTGCGGCTTGGCTGCCCAGCGCTGCTGCACTACCACATCCACAAGCTGCTGCACCTCCTGTTCTGGCAGTGGCAGCTTCAGGGTGGCTGCCGCCCACAGGGCGTTGGACAACTCCTGCGGGGTGGCGGCGTGCCGTTGCTGCACCAAAGCCGTGACCAGCTGCATTGCATGCTGCTGATTGGTCTCGTAGGCTTGCCTCTGCAGCCGCGCAGCCCAGTACAGGGCGCGCGAAACATCCTGTGCATCAGCAGCCAATGATGCACCGGCAAGCCGCTCCAGGCAGGCGTCCAGCAGCGCCGCCTCTACAAACTCTGCCCTGCCGCACGCCCACACGATGTTGACGAGCTGGTGCGCTTTACACTCATCCAGTTGCGGCTGCAGCCGCGCCCAAAGCCGCTGCATTAGCAGGTGGGAGGCTCTGCTGGGCGACAATCGGTGTGATAACCCTGTTCGTTGGAAGCATGCTGCGATGTGGATGTGATTGAAGGCTGCGCCGTGCTGCTGCTCCAAGTCCATAAGCTGTCGGAGGCTGCTGGCATGGTGAATCCAGCGAGTCAGCAGCGGCGCATCCGGGGAGGCCTGCACGATTCGGAGTAGGACAGCGCCATCGCATGGGCCGGACACAGCGCAATGCACTGAGCAGGGAAGACGCAGCATACGGGCGTCAGAACGCCGTCCTGCGCGCAGGCAACGCATCAACCACCAGTGTTGCAGCAAGAGATTCTCGTCCACCATATGCAGACCCGCGCTCCTCACCTTGCCTGGCGGCCAGCGATGCAGCAGCAACAACCCCTCCGCAGTGTCCTCTGCAGCGTGCTCCCTTTGGCCACTCGGGTCTGCAACACTGCGGCTGATGCTACTTGTGCCGTGCTGGCCACTGCCAGCGCTCCAGCGGCGGGAAGGGCCGTGATCAGCTTCAGGAGTGGTGACACGGCAATTCCACACACCTTCAGAAGCGCTTTGGTCGCCACTGCTGCCTCCTCTGATCCTGCTGCCGCTGCTGCTGCTGCTGCTGCCGCTGCTGATGTTGCTGCCTCTGCTGCTGCTGATGCTGCTGCCGCTGCTGATGCTGTTGCCTCCGCTGCTGATGCCGCTGCAGCTGCTGCTGCCGCCGCTGCTGCTGCTGTCGCCGCCGATGCTGCTGAAGCCCCTGTTGCTTGTGCCGCCGCTAATTTTGCCGCTCAAGCAGCTGTTGTTCCAGCTGCACCCTCCAGCACTCATATAACATGCGAAGGCATGGCTTCTGACCCCACGGCTGCCCCTGCCCCGGCTCCAAACTATCCCTGCATTGATGCCCCCGGCGCTTGCTGAGCCACTGCTTATGTCGTCGCGGCTGCTGCTGTCCCCTGCACTGCAAATGCTGCTGCTGCTGGTGCTGCTGGCCTCACTTCCACTGTCCTGAGGTGGTGCACCATTACCCTCATCAGCACCCGCTGGCCATGGGCGGCCTGCTGCGGCACGCCGCGCGGTGCTTGCGGTGGTGCGGTGCTGCACATGCTGCAGTTGAGTCAGCTGGCAGGCCTTCTGACAGCTCCAAAGGCCGCGGTATGCTTGCAGTCCCGCGACCAGCGTATCCACTGTTTGTAGGCGTTTGCGTGCGTATGATGAGCGCAGGGCTGGACCTGCTGATTGCTTGCAGCTTGGGTGGTGCACATGTGGCGCGCGAGGCAACAGCAGAGTACCGCTTGTGTGAGCACCACACTCACCATAGCAGCTGCATCCTCTGAGACAGAGATCGCTGAACATCCTCACCAGCATTGGGTATCAATGCTCTTACAACCTGCATGTGCGCTGCGTCCACTGTGACATTATAGTACTGTGCTCGGTGATCTGCGGCAGCCGCATGAACGAGTATAAAGTGATGTCTACAGACACGATCCAGCTCGCGACGGGTGCATGCAGCGGCGCCAAGTATCATACGTCAAGCCGGCACCACCTGGGCGCTGCAGTAGCTGCCGAACCCGGCGAAGGCGCAGTCCTGTTGCATGGCATCTCCGCTGTAGATCCCTGATGTCCAAGGGTGTTGTCCTTCAAAATTGCAAGCCCCTGACAAGCTGACTCCTCCCAAAAAGGCGGTGCAGGAGAGCATGCTCCTCAATTCACGGCTGGACTAGTAGCGGACTGCGCGGCTGCGATAATGGAGTGCAGGGCCGCAGGACAAGGGCCAGCAAACGCCACCGAGCACTGGGTCGCAGCATGTGCATCCTGAGCACAACCTTCGGTCCTGACCAGTGCAGGGCGCCGTTTCAGCCGCCACAGCTTGTCTAAGGTCAACTTGGCCCGCGCTGCCCCAACTGCAGGCATTGCCAGCACCACTGCCTGAGCCTTCCAGCCCTGGGTACACCCGGGCCACGTGGCACCACAGTGCCCATCAAGTGGTCCAATGACGTCCGCTCCAGGTATCACACACCGATGCAACCACGCAGCTGCGCACCCCAGGGGGCTGCATCGCCGACGGCTGCCTGTGAGAATGTCCTACCCTGCGCTACCCGATTCAAGGCTTCTCTGGCCAGCAGGACCAGGCTGCTGCTCCACTGCCATCAGGGACACATGACGCCCATGGACAGACGTTGACGCTTACAGGAAGAGCAGCAGAGCCATGCATAGCACAATGCTGCGAGTCGGAAGTCGTCACACATGATTAAACATCGTGCTGCTCTGTCAGCGCCTGTCCCTGCTGCGACTGCGTCCGCGCCTGCGATCCTCGTCGCGCCGCCGGTGGGGGCTCCTGCTGCGGTCGCGCCGCCTCTCTCGCGCCTCTTGCCGCTGCGCTTCCTCCCATCTCCGCCCGTCCGCCCGCCGCTCATGGTCATCGGCCCGCCCCCCGCTCCTGCTGCGACTGCGCCCATACGCGTTTCCGTGCTTTCGCTCGCGGCTCCTGCTGCGCCCGCGGCCCGGGGCCTCCCGCCTGCTGCTGTGCCGCTCAGGAGAGCCGGGGCGCTCGCGTGCGGCCGGTGCGCCTGCCGCCTGCTCCCTTGCCGAGCTGCCGCCCCGCCGCAGCTCCTCTGCAGGGGCTGCAGGGGCGCGCCCGTGCGACTCCGCGCCACCGCCAGCGCCGCCCCTGTGCAGCGGCTCCCTGCCCGCGCCTCTCGCCTCGCCACCACGCCGCCGCGGGCTCCGGCTCCTGCTGCGCCCGCGGCCCTCGCGCTCGCTGCCGCTGCTCGTGCTTGATCTGCTATGAGACCGCTTGCGCTTGCTGCGCTTGTTGTCGCTCTTCTCTCTCTTGCGCTTCTCCTTTTTCTCCTTTTTTGCCTTCTGCGCAGCCGCATTAGCAGGGTGCAAGAGGATCAGCTGACTGCGCAATCAGCCAGGCGTGCAAAGCATCCATCCAGTATCGACGCTGGCAGCAGGATACAACGCCAGCACCTGCTGCCAACCAAACTCAGCGCCGCCTCCCACCCCCCACCCCCCCCGAAACAGGGCCAAACGCGATCCCCTAGCAACCATCTCCACCCCTAATGTCGCGCACCTTGCCCGCTTTCTTCTCCGAGCGCCGCTCCTTGCGCTCCATCTCCGCAAGCTGCTCCGCCGTCATCAGGCCCGCGTCGCCGCCGCGGGGGCCGCCCGGCAGCGGCGGGGGCGGTGGGAAGCGCGCTGCCGGCGCGAGGCCGGGCAGCGTCTCGCGGTCCTGGCCATCCGTGGCTGCGGGGGCACCCGACCTGCGCGGGCGCGCAGCGCCAGGAAGCCCAGGCGGGGCTTTGATGGGCGATGGCCAGCAGCAGCAAAGGCAGATGCACCCCAAAATTCTGTATATACCTCCAGTCTTCGCCCCTCAGTGAAGTGCAGCGTAGATTCTGCACACGCAGCAGATGCACACACACTGGAAGAAGTGAGAAGAAACGAGACACCAGCGCTCACCCGTGATGGAAGCCGAGTCCGTGGCCATGACCAGAGTCCCCTGCACCGCTGCCGCCCGCCTCGCCTTGCTGCTGCTGCTGCTGCTGCTGCTTCATCGCATCCTCCAACTCCTGCTGGCTCATGCCCTGAGCGGCGCGCAACGACTGGGGTCGCAGGCCCAGCGCCTGCAAGGATGATTGGGTGGGGTCTGAGTCAACGTCGCAACACTGTACGCCCCAAGAGGCAAACCTTGATTGATGCAAAATTCACTGCACACGTTCAAACCCCAGGAGATATCCTGCAAAAGCCCACCGCGGCGGTCGCACGGCCCCCGCACCTCCTCGATCGCCGCCTGCTCCTGCGCCTTGATCGCCGCGCGCTCCGCCGCGAGCGCGTCGGCGCCCTGCTGCCCCTGCGGCCCCTTGGTGTACCAGAACAGGTCCTTGCCCTTCTGCCAGCGCCCTGTTGGCGCCATCACAGAGTGGCCCAGCCAGTAGTCCCTGTCTTTGTCTGTCTTGACCTGCAGGCAATCGGTGGTCGGGAAGGTCGCTGGGTTGCTTCACCTGCCTGGACGTCCTCCTCCCCCAGCTCAACCGCGACGCAAGCACAGTCGCACAGTCGCAAATGCACATTCGGTCTCTCCCAACTGACCCACTCACTTGCTCCCAGTTGAACTGGTCCCTGCCGCCCCGCGCGCCGGGCCTCGGGGGTCCATTGTACAGCGACATGCCGCCCGCCTCGCGCGCGCCAACACCTGCAGTAGAAGCGGCAAGACAGGGAGGCTGTGGATGCTGCACCCAGCAGAGGCGTAGCATTAACCTATCCTCCTCTTAAGCGCATGCACACTTGATGTGCACGCGTTCACGTTCCCATGCATGACCATGAGCTTGGTGCAACTGGGGCGGGCGCGCTGCAGCAGCGAATGCAGCGGCGCCACTGCAGCTTGGTAGAGCCTGCACTCCTCACCGCTGACGATTCCAGCCGCGGAATATCAGTGACAATACGCGTGTGGCAGGAGCCCACCTCAGGTGCGCTCACGAGCTTGAGGGGCCGCTGTCTGCACCGTGTGCCAGGAGAACGCTACGAGTGAGGGTTTTCTGTTCAGTACAATATGTACGGTACCGATAGTAGTTTATGGTGTCATAGAACGGTATCATACGGTACGCCGGCTTGCCTCGCTTCGACCCAAAAAGGGGAAGGTGCGTGCAAAATCTGAAATTCGCAAGCCTGGCCAGCTGCACAGGGAAGCTCGGCTGCCGCGCGTACACCTGTTGCAACTGCAGCATAAGCGTGCCTCTCGGAGGAACATACTGCGCCAGCCCGCCGACGATCTGGCGCGAAAGGCCATCGACGACGTGCCAGGGGCAACTACAGAGAGCAACGCCAGCCCCACTTTCAGCACAGGGAGCGTAGAACGCAAGTCATGTCCCTTTTGAAGCAAGTGCTGCGCGCTGGCCGCAGCGCGCGGCGCGCGGCGGCACAGGCTGCAGTCAAAACCTGGCGTGTCGTTCGGGGGCGCTCTGCCGCCCGTCGCCGCGCCGCTGCCGGAGCCGCGGTGGCATGCACCGCCGTGACCGCGGCGCTGGCGG